TGCCCAGGTGGGCAAGCCGACCAGGGAGAAGGTCACCCTCGAGATGAAAAAAGATATCATCCGAAAATACGATGGAGGGAGACGCATTGCGGACATCGCCAGGGAGTACGGCCGCAATGCATCAACCAATGGCACCATCGTAGCCAACCGTGAGAAGATCCTTGCCACGGATGCCGCGAAGGGTGTCACAAGGATCGCCAGGAACCGGCCAGCTGTCCTGGAGGAGGTGGAGAAGCTCCTGGTCATCTGGATGGAGGAGAAGCAGCGTGCAGGGGACACGGTTACTGAGGCTGTGATCTGTGAGAAGGCCAGGGCCTTGTATGCCGACCCCATGGATCAGCAGCCTGGAACATCAGCTGAGCCTGAGGAGTTCAAGGCCAGCAGAGGCTGGTTTGAATACTTCAAGGCAAGATCCAGCATCCACAGTGTGGTGAGGCACGGAGAGGCAGCGAGCTCAGACACCACTGCAGCAGAGGACTTTGCTGTGGAGTTCCTCGAGGTCGTAACAACAGAGGGCTACCTTCCAGAGCAGTTCTTCAACTGCGATGAGACCGGCCTGTTTTGGAAGCGGATGCCTAAAAGGACCTTCCTAACCCAAGAGGAGAGCAAGCTGCCTGGCCACAAGCCAATGAAGGAGTGCCTGACCCTCCTCTTCTGTGCCAACGCCAGTGGGGACCTGAAGATCAAGCCGTTGCTTGTCTACCGTTCCGAAAATCCACGTGCTTTTAAGAAGCACAAGGTAGACAAAGCATGGCTGAAGGTGATGTGGCGATCCAACACTAAGGCTTGGGTCACACAGGTCCTCTTTGTGGACTGGGTCAATCACGCTTTTGGCCCAGCTGTGAAGCGGTACCTGTTGGACTGTGACCTGCCTCTGAAGGCCCTGCTCCTCATGGACAACGCTCCTGCCCATCCTCCAGGCCTTGAGGATGACTTGTTGGAGGAGTTCTCCTTCATCCGGATCATGTTTCTCCCTCCAAACACCACCCCGCTACTCCAGCCGATGGATCAGCAGGTGATCGCGAACTTCAAAAAGCGGTACACCATGGAGCTGTTCCGGCGCTGTTTTGAGGTGACCGATACCACCAGCCTCACCCTTCATGATTTCTGGAGGGATGAGTTTGACATTGTTATCTGCCTGAAGATCATCGCCAGGACCTGGGACAGCATCAGCCAGAGGAACTTGAACTGGTGGCGCCTGCTCTGGCCAGGCTGTGTGGCTCCTGGTCCTTCTGCACCTGCAACTGGGTCCACAGTGATGCAGGACATTGTGGACTTTGGAAGGAACATGGGCCTCAATGTCAATGAGGAGGACATTGCAGAGCTGGTAGAGGGCCATGACCAGGAGCTGGTTTATCTTCAGGCAGAAGCGAGGGAGGAGCAAGAAGAAGAAGAGCCACAGCAAGAACAGCTGTCCACCAGCGACCTAAAGCAGTTCTTGGACTGCTGGCAGTTTGTGCAGACTGTAGCGCAGTGGCACCACCAGGACACGTCTCTGGCACAGAACCTATCAAATTCCTATGACGAAAGGATCGTGTCCCCTTTCAGAGGAATTCTGAAAAGGCAGCAGAGGCAGCTGACTATGGAGAGGTTCCTCACAAAGAGACCAAGGCAGGAAGAGGAACCTGTTCCTTCCACCAGTGCTGCCCAGGTGCCTTCTACCTGGACCATCTCTTCTTCTTCCTCCCCCTCATCATCCCCCTAGAAGACTGCTGCATCGATGTGGGGAACACTGGTCCGGGTGGTTTTGAGGCTTCCGCCTCACTCGTTCACTTTAAAGTTGCCTGATAATGTTGAAATGTTTAAAGTTTCTGTCGTTAAAAATTTATGTTTTATGTTTGTGCATTTCATGAAGAGTTTCTGTGCATGATGCACTTTCCAAAGAGTTGTGTACTGTATGTAAATGTTA